TATCCTCTTTATTTCGACATTGAAAAGTGTCCTGACCTAAACGGTTCTTTAGTAAGGCCCCGAACATTGTCCAATTAGTTTTAGACTTATTCCGAAACTTTATCGGCTTTGGTGGTGGCCTTAGTATTTTGAATCTTATGTACCGATGATCAGAAAAGGAGTGCTCGTCCGAAACTCTCCAATCCTGAATTTCGTTTATAAGCTCTTCTGAACATATAGTTATATCTAATACTTCTTCTCTGATTCTATTGACGAAGGTAGCTTTATTACCTAAGTTCAATGTTATCAAGTCTTTAGTATTAAAGAAATCCATGAGGGCTTGTCCCCTGCGATTGGTGTTTGTACTACCCCAAGCTACATGATGCGAGTTGGCATCACAACCTATTACAATTTTCTTATTTTTCCTTTGTGCCTCTTCAACCAGTTTCATCAGATCCGACGTTGGTGGTAGGGTCGGAGAATCGAAAGGCAGGTAAATAGATGCAAGGTATATGTTGCCTCGACCTTGCTTCAGCACCGTTGCATCCGATGTTGATAATCCTGTTGAGAGGAGAAAACATAAGTTCTTGTGACATAAGATACATGTTCTCGGGCGAGATCCTGTATCAGCGTAGAAAAGTTGGAAATTTACGTGATTTAATCCAGAAACCTTGTTGCGAATCGTCCAAGGTTCCTGGATTAAAGCTATATGTATTTTACCTGTGTTGATTTTAGCCATCAGAGCGTTGGTAGCTGTCTCGCTCCGATGGAGGTTTATTTGGATAACCTCAATCATGGTCATCCATTAAACTGTCTTCCAGCGAGTTGGTGGTCACCTCCTCGCTCTTTGGATTTGACTCCTCCGGATAGCCTGAAGTGGCTATTAATGCAGTGAGTACTGTTGATGGCACTGCGGTGTCCTTATCAGGCATAGGAATAGCAGTATTTTTAATAGACACATTCCCAATTCTGGAGAGCATTGCTGTTCTGTCTTCTGGCGGGTGAGTGATTTCCTCCTCGCTTTTAGGATTTGACTCCTCAACATTGCTAGTACTTGCTAATGATGCTTTGGGTACTGTCTTAGGTGTTTTAGTGTCCTTGTCGGGGCCGGTTTTGACAGCCCTTTCAATCGGCGCCTTCCCAATTTTGAAAAGGGCAACTACACTTTCTTCTGGCGAGTTAATGGTAAATTCCTCGATTTTAGGATTTGACTCCTCAACGTTATCAGTAGTGGATACTGTGGTCTTAGGTTTTTTAGTGTCCTTTTCGAGGCTTGTTGTAACAGCCCTTCCAATCGGCACCTTCCCAATTTTGAATATAAATATATTAAAAATATTAAAAAAATACTTTTTTTTCCAAATAACGAATTAATCAGAACAATTAATATCAATAATTGAGACAAAATTTAAAATTGATTAATTCATTAATTGTATAAATTAAATATTTAATAAAAGTAAAATCTAATTTTTATTAATTTATTAATCAAATGAATTAGTTTGTTTGGTAGAAAATGTATTAAAAACCAATTAAGTTGATGATTAAAACAATCAAATTATTAATTGATTACTCACAATGTTAAATGAATGCTTGACCTTTAACAATGCGTTGAGCATTTACAAAAAATATCACTTTATTAATAAATTTGAACATATAAAGTGTTTTATAAAATGTCAAGAAACTTGAATATTATATGCCTAAAATCGTATTGACTATTTAAGAATTATAAACATTGTTAGCATAAGAAATCAAAATAAAATATTAAAAAAAAAACAAAAACAGAAAAGTTGGCCAGAAAATTTTTTTCAATCAATTAAAAAACTAATTGAATCAATTAAAAATTTAATCAAATTTGTAAACTTAGGTTTTAAACAACGAGATAATTAAGACAAATAAAAAATTGCTTAAATTAAAATTAAAGAAAGAGAAAAACATGTTAATTGAAAATAAGATACTGATAATTTTTTCTGTGTTGGGTTACTTGACACGAAAATTTTGATACTAAAACTACAGGTACAACTTTTGAGGACTCCAACCTTCTGTATATCCCATATGGGATGCGCAACGTCCAGTATTGCAAGATAACCCGTTGTTTGTAAATGTCCTTGTTTGATTTGTTCTAAATTGATTTCTCTGTTGCCAGTGCAAAGTTTAAGGATTCTAGCTCCAATAGTTTTACAGATACATAATTTTAGCATTTAGTTCATATGGGAGGTAGTCCGGTCATTGTTTTAAAAATTTTAGAATATGAGGATTCTAACTCTAGTTTTTTCTATTTAATTCATATGAGAGGTGCCACGCCCCCATAATACCCAAATTTGCTAGTTGGTCGTGTAAAATTTGAGGATTCTAGCTCTAATGGTTTCCCAGATACATATATGTTTTTGACGACAAAAATTATTGAAATTAGTCTATGAGTTAACTTTGCCACCATAAAATAGCCTTTCCTATTTATGTTTTAACAGCAAATATTTGTGTTGTGAATTTATAAAGAGCACAAAAAACTTCTGTAAAATATGAAGATCACTCTGAATTAAGTAATACTCTATATACCTTTTTAGAAAATGGCTTTAACGAAAATCGATTTTAAGCTCTTACAAACTTTAGACTAAGATATCTGAAAGGTAGCATAAGACATAACAAGTTTACTATCAAACGTGACTTCGCGATGTTGTAACATTTCAAATTTTGGATTTGAAAAAAATGCTGGCCAAACTAGGTCTTTTTTTTTGGAAATTTGGACTTAAATATACCCTACACCACTTTAGTGGGGAGGGTATATTGGGTTTGTGCTGATGTTTGTAGCGCACAATAATATTGGTCCTATACCCACCTTAAAGTATACCAATCGGCTTAGAATCATGAATCTGAGTCGATTTAGCTATGTCCGTGCATGTAAACCTTGTAATCAAACTACAGGTCGCAGTTTTGAAGATAATTCAATGAAATTTGGTACATGATCTTCTATTGTCTCTGGGAATGAAAATGGTTAAGATCGGTCCATTATTTCATCTAGCCCCCATACAACTGAACCCATGAATAGGGTTTGTAAACCTTGTAATCAAAATACAGGTCGCAATTTTGATGATAATTCAATAAAATTTGGCACATAATCTTCTATGGTACCGGAGACGAAGCCTATTGAAAATGGTTAACATCGGTCCATAATTTCACCTAGCCTCCATACAACTGAATCCCTTAATAGGGCTTGTAAAATTTTGAAATTTGGTACATGATCTTCTATTGACTCAGGGAATGAAAATGGTTAAGATCGGTCCATTATTTCACCTAGCCCCCATACAACTGAACCCCTGAATAGGGATTGTAAACCTTGTAATCAAACTACAGGTTGCAATTTTGAATATATTTCAATGAAATTTGGCACATGATATTTTATGGTACCGGAGACGAAGCCTATTGAAAATGGTTAACATCGGTCCATGATTTCACCTAGCCCCCATACAACTGAACACTACGAATAGGGCTTTCAAGTTCATAATTCATAATTTAATATAATCGTATCTCGACAAAAAGCTGCAAAACCAAGTTCTATACTAGCATTGATGACTCTCATGAATTTTATAATTATAGGGTCTCATTTGACCATAGCCCCTATACAAAGCCCCCTTCAAAATTTGACTTAAATGTCCACAATTTTATTCAACAATAAATGGCTTAAGTATATCTGAGACAAGGTACAATTCAACTTAAATGCTTTATTATGAAAACTTAATCACATTTAATTTTTGTAACAGGTGTAGGGTATTATATGGTCAGCCTCGCCCGACTATAATTTCTTACTTGTTTTCTATTTACAATAATCTGGAAAAATTTTACTTAATATTTTTAATAGGTTTTCCTATCACGGAATATGAAATATATTTATTGAAGTTAAGTTAGAAGCCTATTCAAATCCAAAATATCACTTTATGTATTAAATCATGAATTTTTTTTTTTGTGAATGGCATAGTATTTGCTATTAAAGCAAATACAATGTACGTGTTAGATATAAAGTCCTTCATATGTTATAAGTCCTTTAATGTTGTCTTGTAAATAACAACATATGTATGTATCTATTTATGTAATCTAATACTTATTAATTTAACTTTATAATTATTTATTTGTTGTATTTTAAGTATTCTAAAAATATTGTTTACTGATACTAATACTTAACTATTGATTTGAGTGTCCCAATATCATGGGGATTTCTTATAGTAAATCGTGCATGCATTTTGAAGTTGAAAATTACTGTCAATTTGTGAAATAATAAAAATTATTAATAATCTAAATTGTTATTAATATCGCGGGTATTCCCATAAAATCTTCTTCTGTGGGACGCTCTTTCATAATATATATTGGGTTCGCCCCGTTTACATGGAAAAAAATGAAACTTTTGTTCATTTCACAAAATTTTTGTCCTGCGATCATTATTAGGTGTGATGGGACAATTTTTTTCATATTTCACACAAAGAAATGTTATGAAATTTAAATATCATATGAAAGATTTTTAAGGAACGCTTTCAATCGAGTACCAGTTCAAAAATATTGAAATTTTTAAATTTTTTTTGAAAAATTAAACATTTGTCAGTAGTTTTGTGATCGCATATACATAAATGTTTGATGGTATTGAAAGCCCCTTTCATATGATATCAAATCTTAATATATTTTCTTTTTAAGAAATGTGAAAAAAAATCATTAAAACCTAAAAAATCACCTTTTTATCCTTTGATTTTGAGAAATGGTATCTTAGAATGAGCAATATTTTCATTTTCCGCAGGAACATGCGAAATTTCAATTTTTGCGCCATAAGTATTGATGTTATATTTATTTCAAATAGATTTATATAAAATACTCCTACTGCTACAGCATTATAAAACCAAATGATAAAATTAGTAATGTTTAATTCTAATTTATTTTCTATGTATATCTTATTTCTTATTTCGACTTTATTATAAAAACGCATTTAATCTATAAAAAATGTTCTTTTCCTACATTTTGTTATTTCGTTTTTACTTTTGTTAAAGTATAAATTATTACAAATCGAAACAAAAATTGAGAAATCATCACCATCCCCAAATAATAGTTACGCTAATTCTACCAATGTAAGTTCAAACATGTTTCGAGAAGGATTTATTTAGTATATTTGATATTAGAACGTAGATAATATCCTACAAAATATATAATTAGCTTAAATTATAATTTTGCAATTATTTAAAGTACTAGTTCCTTAAAGCATGCATATAGTCCAGATAGTACGTTTAAGTTTAAAATTTGTTTGGAAATGTCAAAGGAATACATACAATAACGAATAGCTTTATATGTATATCAGATTTGAAATTTATATAATAACACAGAACTGTGGCTTATAAACATTTTAGGAAATAATTTGGTATCAGTTGAGCTATAGCTCAACTGATACGTGGGTTTCAAAGTTAATCATTTGGGTTATTTTTATTGTAAATTTTTCATTTTGGGGTATCATCAGTGTCGTACTCATGAAGTCATCAATGATTTATTTATTGTTCACTAAATATAGTTTCCATATATATGTAGGTAGGTAATCATTAGCTGTGTTCCAGAACTTTTCTGACTGAAACCTGTATATGATAACGCCCTGTAACAATTTCCCAAAAATTTTCATACAGTTTTTCATAATTAGTTTTTATATCCCCTGAAAAGTGCTTTAAAGTTCAAAGGACAATTTCGAAAGAAAAATCAAAATTGGTTGACATATGAGCTAATTGTGAAAACTGAATACGCAGAGTTATCACCAATGTTTCATGTGCACAATCTGTTTTTATGGGGTGATGATTTTGACATTCGTAGACCCCCAAAATTATGTATTATAGTTCCCTATCTATAGGAATCTAAGATGATGTAACTTTGTCTGTCTGATTTACAAGTTTAGACACAGGGAATCTCCTTTCGTTTGTATATGTATGTATAGCAGCGTATTTATTTCTAGCTTCCCAGATTATATTAGTACATATATTATAGAATATTTCGAAAAAATAATTAGTTTTTTTTACTAAAATTACTATAGATAATTGGATAAACTTTCATGTATCTTAAAAATTGAATAATGTGGGCACATACCTTCCATACACAAATTTATATAATTTTGTATTAAGAAAAATAGTAGCAACGACGATCTTGCTACCTATATTGCATCAGATCTGAAATGTACAGCTAGGCCTCAATCGCGCCTATTTTGAGCTTCTTTTCATGAAAGTATTTTTGGAAGAAACTTACATCTATAAAAGTAATTATCGTCGAATGTTCAGAAACTCTGTTTCCTGGACGTAGTTTCTTAGGAATGTAATATTTGGAATATCATAGTAAGATATTTGGATCGAATTTCGATGAAAGCCTGACAATAAAAGAGAAAGTCATCCTGCGTTTTACTATCCTCTATACATGCTCCAACTATATAGTTGTTGTCTGGGTGTCCACTAAAAACGTACCTTCTGACTAACATCGGACTTATACATTCGGGTTAGACTTCTCGTCTCGTTGTAGGCACCCCATAAGACTTTAGTGGGTAGGACCACTACACCAGTATAGTGCTGATATACTGGTGTATTTGTGCTGATGTTTGTAACGCGAAAAATATTGGTCCTACACCTTAAAGTATACCGATCGACTCAGAGTCACTTTCTGAGTCGATTAAGACCTTGTGCGCAAGCTACAGGCCACAATTTTGAAGATATTTTGATAAAATTTCGACCATACGAGTTTTTCGGCACAAGGACGATGCCTATTGAAAAGGGAATACAACCTGACGTTCCGATTTTGGGGTTTTAACTCATAACTACGTCAAATATACTACTATCTCACCAAAAATTGGCACAACTAAGTTTCATATACATAGGCATAAATGACCATGCCAATGTATATAACGATCGGCAGTCGTTTGGCCCTAGCCCCCATAGAAACCCCCCTTTAAAAAATATCTTAAACGTCCAAAGATGATGAAATTCAGCATAACTAACCTTTATATAAAAATACATCCCTCTTTCCAATTTGTTGAGAATCGGCCTATAATTAATTGCTTAAATACATCGGAATTAAGATAAAATCCAACATAAAAGTTTCTTTATGAAAAATAAATAATTTTTAAAATATACCCATGCTGTAGGGTATCATGTAGTCGGCCATATCCGACCATACTTTCCTACATGTTTTAATTCAGCCCCTGTAGCGTCGAACGGTTTTGCATTCATCAAAATAACTTCCTCAATCGCCCTTCCTTAATTGCCTTCTGGCTGTCGGAAATATGTTGACATCTTTTGGCAAAATACTGAATCATATTCAATTTACACACACGCCTGGAAGCTGGTATTGTGATTACGAAGATAAGAGCATATCCGTTCTTTTAATGAAGATCACCAGACCCGTTTTGTCTTCTAGTTTGGAGCCACCCCTATAATGTTTGGCTCCCCTCATTGTCCCATTGTAAATTTTTTATATATTGTTGAGTACACTGTAAGCAACCTTATGTGAAGGATTAAAGAAAATGGAAGGTACCTTTTTTTATATATCCTTGACTAAAGGACGTTTTTTTAATAGCATTATCCTTATGTTTAAACTGTAATATTCTAAATAAAATATTGTCAAACTACAATAGGCTTTAGCAAGAGACTAAAACGATTAAAATTGGATAAGTAGTTTAGAAAATATACGATGTCAAATTTAATGCTTGTTGAAAAAAATCTTAAAAAATGTGAATTTGGAACCTTGATAAAATCTAAAAAGAATGTGTGTACCAAGTTTCATCAAAATCGGAAAGGGTAAGGTACGAAACCTGTTCGAAAATTTTTGAAATGCTCCTATATATAGTTTGAATTTCTAAATATGAATAAGACATAAATTTTTTGTTAGTTTCAGGTTTAATCACATGTTTTTAAATAAAAATATTCAATATTATATGCGTCTGAATTTATATACGTTTTATAATATTTTAGATATACATATTTGTACCTATATTTTACTTGTAGATAAATATTTATACATATTTATACTTTTGTTCTCACTTTATTGATTTAATGTTAATAAATATGACGTTTTCCAAATACACCTCAAAACAATTACATTACAAAATCCAATAATAATTAGTTTAGTTTGTTAGATTTCTCTCTTATTTACACTCTTAGTAGAATATATTTGTAAAATTAATTGATTTATTTTGTTTTAAATTGATTTATCGTGAAATTCCGCATTGAAACCTTTGCAGGCACTTTTGGCGGATACATATTCTCTGCGTGATACCAAAGTACATGAAAACGGAAAAGTGAGTAAAAGTTTTTGAGATTCTTCATACATATAAATACATACGTACAACACAAGTAATAATTAATTTTATTAATTCTTAATTTATATAAGTACATATGTTTAATATTACATTTTTTTTTAATTTATTGGCAAACAGTTAAGAAAACTAAATCAAAATAGTAGTAAAGATACCCAAGACACAAAGAAATGTCTATTGCAATTGAAATTTTATTAAAAGCACACTTACCCACACAAATAATTTTACTTTCAAACTTCTTTACTCTATCTTAATTCTTTATCTGTATTTAATTATTTTACAAATTATACAAAAGTATTTAGTGGAATAATGAGATTTTGTAATAAGTCCCTTAGAAATCTGTAGATCACTTAGGTAAAAAACTGCAAAAAGTAACTAAAACAACAGTATAAATTTTAGAAAATAGTTTAACACTTTTAAAATCACTACCACCCACATATATACGTTTTTGTAGGATCAAAATTTAGGAAAACTCAAAATGACAGCTGTCATTTGTCAGACTGTTATTTTAATTTTAATTTATTTGTGTCTTTGGAGTCGTGAATCCATTTTTTATTTCTACTTACACCTGATATCACTGATAACAATTACAAATAATTATTAATTTTTATTTATTTAAATATTTTTTAATTTGATTCATTACCTTATGAAATAAAATAATTATCATAATATTTCTATTTACATACGTATTGAATGTTTTAAATATGTATTTTCTTTGTATGCATTTGTATCACCAACTACGATTAATTTCAGGTTAATATCACTGCCGGGGCGGAAGAACCACCCTCCAAAGTTAGTTTAACGTAAAACTGTTCATTCATTATATATTGAGTATTTTTCGCTTCTATTTAAACTTTTTTACGACTTATAATATTGCACTCTGTCGATTTAGAATATTCATACATACATAGATATCTAGCTGATGCAATAAATTGCTTAACTTTCCATTTTTATTTTTTATATTTTTTGAACGATTTTTTATTATTTCGCTTTTCTGTTTAGCCTGAAATGCGACCTTGGACTTAAAAGATGTAATCGACTAATTTACAAAATATGACAAAAATTTTAATACACTCATAAGAGTGTAATCATTTTTAAAAAGTCAATAAGCTTTATATATAAAAACTCTTATGGACCTAACACTAAAAAGTTTAGAGAGTTATTAATTTCTTACTTAGATAATATGAAAGGATGATGTATGTTACATCAGATCCGAAAATATATCTAGGCCACTATCGTTCCTGTTGTGTCCTTTACCAGAGTGGGTGGTTATTGAACCCAAGGTCTCCGTTATGACAGACCACAACTGTACCAACTAACCTACAGGAGCATCCTGTGTTAAGTTTTTTTACCTGTGCAAATTAAACCAATTTTAGACATAACCTCCAATTCTTGGCTAAATGTAATCTGTTCTCGAAAAAAGAGAAAATCATTAGATGACTAGAAATGGCCAATGTTCCTGAAAAAGAAGAAAAGTAGTCAGAATTGTCATATCAAGTCACGCACATTAATTGACAATATCTTAGGACCATTGTTTTTGATTAGTCGCCTCTTTATGCTATGCATGGAGCTATTAGAGCTCTACATAAAAATATGTATAAACAATTTAAAAATATGTATATTGTTCCCCTAGATATAAGCAGTTAATGGTGCGTGACGTGATGTAGCAAAAGTAGACTTTTCGGGGGAAATGCATCAAATCCGAAGAAATACACCTAGGCCTCTATCGGGCCTGTTGTGCGCTTCTTAACCAGTGCCGCAAGTGAGAATCGTACCCTCCACCTCCGGTCTACCACACTAGAACATTAACCTACTGGAGGCCACATACCATACCATAGTAAATACATATTTATAATATGTCGGTAAATTTATGCTATTCGTATCGACCACGGTTGAGGGGTAATGACAACATTTCGAATTACAATTACATTTGAAGTAATTGTAATTGAAGTTTTTCCAATTACAATTATTTGTAATTGTAATTGAAGTTTTGACCATTACAATTACTTGTAATGGTATTTGAAGTTTTTCCAATTTCAATTACTTGCAATTGTAATTGAAGAATTTCCAATTACAATTACTTGTAATTGTGAATTTTGTTCCTTATAATTACATATAATTTGTAATAAGTAATACTTTAATGACAATTATGAGCAATTGTAATTGGCAAAACTTCAATTACAATTATAAGTAATTGTAATTAGTTATTGGTCAATTACACATTACAAGTAATTGTAATTGGTTATTGCTCAATTACACATTACAATTAATTGTAATTGACCATGTAATGAATTACTTATTTTGTGTAGTCTTTACCCCCATGCCTGATATCGACATTCCAAATAATTTATTGAGAAGTATACAAAGTAAGTCTTTGCCAAATGGTTTTCAATAGAAAGACACCCTAAAATAAGAAGCCCACATGCCGAATAAAAATCGTTGCATCATCATGGTTATTATTAAACGGAACTTCATTTTGCGCCAAGAATTTTTCTTGTATCAAATAATATTTTCAACAATTCCATTAAATTTCGAAAGGACATATACATCATGCTCACTATATGATAAAATATTGTATTTAACAAAAGTTATATTTAGTTAGACAAAGCATTTTCTTATATTTTGAAGATTTATGGTTGGGAAGTTTTGCCTTACCCTCGCCTTATAATCCAGACCTTGCCCCGTTCCACTAGTATGAATCTATCGATACAAAACGTTCTCTCGTTCTTTGTCTGATCTTTTGGCGCGAAATTAATATGTTTCAAAATAAAACCTAAAAAATTTGAAAAATTCCGCACTTTTAAGATATAGTCCCAACCCTTTCGAGTTATGTACTGTTTTCCAAAAATAAATAACGAACGTCTAGTGATAGACTTTTGGGGAAATCATCAAAAATTAAATTTTGAAATAAAAAATTGTTCCTAAAAATTAACAAAGATTACTTCCTGGAGACCATGACACACATAGTTGATGTTAATGGAACCATAGTTATCTAAAAAAAGCAAATTTCTCTTGCAAAGTTTAAATTGCAAACCATCTCTAATGATAATTGCAAATGCACGCTTTTCTTGTTATTTTTTATATTTTTAAATTATAATTTCCACAAAAAGCTTAAAATATATAAATTTGTTAATGAGATCTAAGTAAATAAAACTTTTTTCATTTCATTTAATAGTTTTTATATTAAGTAGTTTTTCATAAACTTTTCTTCTGCTGCTCGTAGTAAAGAATCACATTTATCAAGAACTCTGCCATGCTATTCACAAATGCCACATTAGAATATCATACACTAGACTGTTCCAAAGAAATACAAGGGAAAAATTGACACGATGGATGACTTGAATTCAAAATACTTTGAAAATAGTTTATAAATTTGGCAAAAAATGAGCAATCGGGGAAATTTTATATAGCTAAATTAAAATTGACACATTGCTTCCCCTTAGCACCTTTGACCGCCAATAACTCACTTAGCGCACATGATATTTATGGTGTATTTTAATACCTTATTAATAATGGTAAGGAGAAGCTATGTGAGAATTTCCATTTAACTATCTAAAAGTCCTCAGCAAAATCTTTATTTCCCTGGGCTAAAGGTTTACTATCGAAAGATTTGATGACAAAAAAGATATAATTTCTTCCAATTTTGTTTTTAAAATTATTATTTTTTTGGAGCTGTCTATTGTTAAAAACACGAATTCTTCACATCTTCTATAGCGCTAAATGTCATAAAATGAACATTTGCGGTTTACGAGAAATGTCACTCTTAATTTAGCTTTGTATGCCGTGTAGACGCAGTAAAATGCTTAAAACTTTTCTTTTTTTTTCTTTATCACAAAGGAATGATTTTGTTTAACAAAAAAAAAATAAATAAATAAATAAACTTATTAAAATTTAGTAAAATAATTGCTACAAATAAAACACCAACATTTTTATTCTAATAATAACTATCCATAATTAAAAATATAAATAAATAATTATAAATACTTACTATGTATTTTGTAATATTAATGGGAAGATGGTTGGTTAATTAGTCGTATTTCTTAATAAGTAATTGTCTATACATATTTATATTTTTTGTAAATAATAATTAGTTTTATTCTTCTAATACGTCTTGTAAATATACACATGTTATACAATAAAATTCAAATTTGTTTGTAGTTTGAAAAAGTGAAAATGTATTTGAATGTGATTTTAGTTATAATAATGTATTAATCTCAATTCTTTAATATTTATGTTTTGTTTTGTCTTCTTTCTGTGTAATTTTATAAAAAACACACATTTAAAAATGCCAGGTATCATTGACGGATTCGGATCCATCACAATTTCGAGAATTTTTCCATACAACCGATTACGAAGTGAAACAGCATCAACCCTTAAGGCTGAAAAAGAAAGTGTATGAATTCTACACAGCACCTATAACGAAATTTTGGGCTGATTCGGTAAGTTGCGAAAATTTATTACTTTTTTATTATATTATCTACACCTAGATTTACATTAAACTGTCCCGGATTGTTTGAATTATCCTTAGTTGTTTGGAATGATCCTTAGTTGCCTACCAGCAAAATGGGTTTAGGTACATTATTTTCGATTTTTATCAAAATAAGTGTCAAAATTTTGGTTGGGTCAATTTTCGAATTTTTTAGATTATCTCTTTTATATGGATCTATCGATACAAAATGCTCTCTCGTTCTCTGTCTGATCTTTTGGCGCGAAATTAATATGCTTCAAAATAAAAGCTAAAAAATTTAAAAAAATTTCGCACTTTTAAGATATAGTCCCAACCCTTTCGAGTTATGTACTGTTTTCCAAAAATAAATAACGAACGTCTATCACTTGAATCAACTTTTTTGGGAAATCATCAAAAATTAAATTTTGAAATAAAAAAATGTTCCTAAAAATTAACAAAGTTTACTTCCTGGAGACCATGACACACATAGTTGATGTTAATGGAACCATAGTTATCTAAAAAAAAAGCAAATTTCTCTTGCAAAGTTAAAATTGCAAATCATCTCTAATGATAATTGCAAATGCACGCTTTTCTTGTTATTTTTTATATTTTTAAATTATAATTTCCACAAAAAGCTTAAAATTGTGTAGAAGAGCTGAGGAGGCTCTGAATACGGCTTTGAGCTCGGCTCAACCGAGAGGCCTCAATGTTAACCCGGTGAAGATGAAAATCTGTCTTTTCACAAGAAAGACAAACATTTCTACGTATACTGAACCCTGCTTCCTGGGCAAGAATATACCGGTGACAGAGAAAGTTAAGTACTTAGGTGTATCCTTGACCGGAAATTAAAATGGAGACACCACATAAAGGATAGGATCAACACAGGGCTATATATATTACCGACAGCCAGAAGGCAATTAGGGCGATATCAGGTGATAGAATTAAATCTAAGACCGTATTGGATTGTAAGAAATCTTTGACCGAATATTCTCCCACAAATATCCTATGGGGTGGCCCTGGTGAGAGCAAGACGAGAAATCTCCTCAAAATGAGTGGACACACAGAGTTACGGGAACAGCTATACAAAATTGGAGAGGAGAGTGAAACTTTTGCCTGACAGTGGCACTTTCTTTGCCACTGTTAGGCATTCGTCGAAGTTAGATTTAAATATCTTGGAAATGATATTATTCTGGAAATAACATTCCTGACTAACACTGATTGGAAAATTCTTAGGAATTACGTCCAGTAAACTCATTTTCTAAGCATTGCAATTATACATTCAGTGTATTATTCGGTCCACAATTAACTCAAAGCAAATTACCAAAAATCACCTTAAAATTCCTTATATCTGGTGCAAGATAACTTATACTATGTTCACACGAACAGTTGAATTACCTATGTATGTATGTATTTCAGCATCTGAATTACAATATCGAATCAACCTTCGTAATTTGCGTTAGCAGTTTATAGCTATTTTGTTGTTATGTATAGGATTTCGTATAACAGAATCAAAACTTAATATCTTAAAAATAGAGTGTTTATATAAACATTTTGTGTTAACCAAATAATCTGGTTTATTTCATTTTCAAAAGTGTTACATTCTGTTTGACAAATCTGGATTGATTGTACGCATATACTTATATTGAAAAATATCTTAATTTTTCGAAATACCCCAGAGTTTAAAACTCCTGAGGCCAGCTGAAGCCAGTCTAAAATCCAAATTGCAACAGGCACCACAGTTTGGGGGAATTCTATTCAGTAAACGATTACCCATTTCTGAATTAAAAGTGTCACTGTCCACAGATGATATATCACCTTTTTGGTGTGTTGTAATGTCCATCAGTGGTCATTGCTCCCGGATTATGTTGCACATTAGATTCCTTAAAAAATTTCCAGTATAGATAGCCTTCGGCCGTACTCAGTCTTTTTAAACCCTCTGATCTTTCGAATGCTCCTTCCCGAAAGTTAAATTTTTCTTGTCACTATTTTCATGGACATTGTTCCTCTTTTAGTTTGGACATTAATTTAGCTTTGGACATTAATTTGTGAATCGGCCAATTATTTCATTTAAATAATGTTTATTTTTAATTTACACATTACATCTTTAATTTCTGTTTAATTAAATCAATAAATATCCTTTTATTTTCAAATTTCAATTAGATGGCGTACATGTTTTTCCTTTTGATGTTCACATTTACGGTATTGGTTAAAATGGAGCAAAAACCACGATGGCAGGAAATGTATTCTATTGCGTATATCGCAACATTGGGCTTTGAAAAAATTCGTGAAATTATTTCCTCAGAACCTGTGGCAATAACGTAAGTCTTTCTCTTGTTAAAATTGAAACTATGTACTATTTATTGTTTGAGGTTTGAACATTCATAAATTTATTATTATTTTGTCCTTTGTTTCATTAAACAGACATAAATTTTCCGTTTGGGCTTGGAACATGTGGAATCCTTGTGATGGTGCGGCAATTATACTCTTTTTCATTGGACTCTCATTGCGTTTTCGACCAAATACCATGGACATTGGAAGAGTTATTTATTGTGTGGACAGTATCTATTGGTATTTAAGGATTTTAAATATTTTGGGTGTTAATAAGTATTTGGGTAAGTATATCTCAAGGACCATGTACATAAATATGTATATTTATTTATTCTTAATGTTCAGGTCCACTTGTAACAATGATGGGTAAAATGGTTAAAAACATGATTTATTTTGTCGTTCTCCTCGCTGTGGTCTTGATGAGTTTTGGTGTCAGTCGTCAGGCTATTCTATTCCCCAATATGGAACCTACTTGGCGTCTAATACGAGAGGTAAGTTTTCTCGCTCGTTTATCTTAATGTCCGTCACAAATTATTTTCAACAATTATCCGAATTATTTATGTGTGTGCGTGTGTGTATATAATACGTGTGTGTCCTAATCAAACATGAGATATTTTCCAAAGTATCGAATGATTTATTCTACAGTAGATTTTATGATTTAATATATGCATACATACACTTGTAGAGAATACATACATATGATTTTTTAATTTATTTTTAAGTTATTTTTAGACAAAAACTTATACATACATATAACTTAGAATTTCCAACTACTTACATCACATACACATACATATCTTGTGTGTAAGTTGTAAAAACATAAAGTCATTTGTAGAAAAAACCATTGCAAATATTTATGTTTATTAATTTCTGTTAAATATGAGGAAAGATCTTTAAATTTTCCAAAATTTTTTACTCGCAGAAATTCGCATAATGCGTTGATATATCAACATGCATATATCAAATGCATTCAGAAACACATAAAGATTTTTATTTATATTAATAAACTGTGTCATTATCATCATTCGGATCATTCGGTAACATCGCTTATTTAAACATTTATAGTTCTTATGATATAATTATTGAATTTCCGTCTAAATGCAATTGTTTTAATAAAATTACTGCTAGCAAGTTTGAAAATAATTTTATGTTATTGAATACACATATAAAATGTCGAACTTTATTGATTATAAGGTTCATGATTTCACATAGATTTCACCATAAACACTTTTCAATAATATTATGTTAAATGTCCATAAATATGTTAATTATGCTGGAATCGTGATAAAATTTATGAACAGAGCAAACAGATTCGTTGTCACGACCGAATTTGGTCGTTTACGAGTACTGTTATGTAATTCAATTGGAATAATCGGTAATAATCGGTACACATAACTACTATTAGAGCTAGAATCTTCAAATCTTACATGAAGAACTTTGACATTTATGTGTACATTTATAAATAATTATAATATATTTTAAATACGAATGCTATACGAATTTTTGCATTTAGTTCAAATTTAGATGTTCCGCTCTAAGGCTCTTCGTGCAAAATATGAGGATTCTAACTCTAATAGTTTCTCAAATGTACGATTTTTCTTCATGTGGGAGGTGCCTCGCCTCCTATAGCTATTGCGTCCATTTAAAATGTTTATTTCTTCTTTAATGTAGAATATATATAAGTATATATATATAATAAGTAGGAAAGTATAGTCGGACATGGCCGTCTATATGATACCCTACACCATGGGTATATTTTGAAAATTATTTATTTTCATAAAGAAACTTTTTATGTTGAATTTTACCTTAATTCCTATATATTTAAGCAATTTATTTATGAAAAACTAAATTTCTAAAAGAAGCTTTCAACAAATTAGGAAGAGGGATGTAATTTTATGGTTGGTTAGGTTGATAAGAGGATGAATACTACATCAAATCCGAAGAAATTCACCTAGGCCACTATCGGGCCTGTTGTGCGCTCCTTTATATAAAGGTTAGTTATGCTTAATTTCATCGCGATACTAATGGTTATAAGTCAATTTTTGGACATTTAAGTTATTTTTGAGAGGGGGGTTTGTATGGTGGCTAGGGTCAGATGACGGCCGACAATTATAAAAATTAGAATGGCCTATATAAAACTCAGTTGTGCCAAATTTTGGTGAGATAGTAGTATATTTGACAGAGTTATGAATATGGTCCAAATTTTATCAAAATATCTGGAAAATTTTGGCCTGTAGCTTGCGCACAAGGTTTACATGGTATTTTAGCTTAAAATTAGTTTATGTCGAATTACATTGAATTTAATTTACGCCAGTAATGAGCGTTAAAGTAATTTTCTGTTAGGGGCCTTATATGCGGGATGGGGTCATTTAAGGCCCGATCCATCCATTTAAGGGTCAATTATGGACCTATACACATAAAATTAGCTGGAAAGGTTTTGGCTCCTAAGATATTTATGTCAAATTTCTTCGCTATACTCGTATTTTTACGCCAATAATAAGCGATAAAGTCATTTTCTGAAGGGGGACCTTATATGGGCGGGTAGGGGCAATTATGGACCGATCCACATAAAATGTATATATATACTTTATGGGGTCTGTGAACAATATTTCGATGTGTTACACACGGAATGACAAAATCAATATACCCCCCATCTCTTTTGATGTTGGGTATAAAAATTTGTATAATTATAGTGGTTTTCCCATGAAAAGTAAATATAATAGGCAAAGAGAAAAGGAAATTTTCGCAATCATAATAATAAGCTAATATACCACTTTATTTTTAAAATATTTTTTATTTAATTTAAAATTAATAAAAATCATGTCCGATTTTGTGTTTGAGTCACTGTTATCTATCAGTTTCCGTAGAAGACCGTATGAGAGAAGTTAAATGCGTTTCAATAAATATACTCAGAAAGTGTGGAGGTGGGTGTTGAATGAGAATTTTTAAACTTTCACGATTTCTAAGTATAAATCTACAAATACCATCCCGGAACCGTATAAAATAATTTATACATTTCGGAAAAATTAAACTATATCAAACTTTAATTTACGATCGATTCATAAATTTGTCATAGTTTTTACAAAGTCTAGTCCATATAAGTTGCATTTCGGAAAGTAACTTTAAAATTGTGAAAAATAATCGTGTCAAGAATGAGAGCTTTTTCGTCACAGAATATCTTAGTTTGAACCAGTCAATATGTTAAATCTGATAATTGATAAAAAAAAACCTTAACTTCATATACATATACAATATATTTGTTTTCAGTCAGTTAATTATTTGAAATTTAGAATAAACAGTAATAATATTTACACCAAATATCAAATACTTAAAAATGTAGTTTACATTTAGTGTAATAGTATGAAATAGGTTAAATTGATTTGTTAAAACTGTAATTTCTAATTAATTACGAACATAATTATTTAATGGAGTACATACACAGTACATAAACATATGAATAAGAATATTTAAATGTTTAATAGACTCATAATAAAATTTAATTAAATATTAATTAATAACATATTTTTCTTAAATTTCTGTTTTTATCTATTTTGTATATTTCTGCAAAATGTATTAAAACGTTTCTAAATGTACTCTTCGTACACTTTTGCATTCATTTAACACATTTGAATATTTTTCACTCTCTTTTTTATTCTCTTTTTTTGCGCTCACTAACACATGTGATTAAATTGTATTAATTAAAAAAATTAAAAAATAATTAAATGAAAACACACACGCACACACATGTTAAATTGTGTACATATACTAGGTTATTGCTGGTTCCATAGTAGCACCAGGATTTTTGGGAGCCTTAAGACACAATAGTCCATCACATGGGTCGCGAGATTCTACCGGTGGTATTGGTGGTTACATGTCATCCCATCATCGTGGACATTCAACAATGTCACATCAAACTACATCGACATCATCATCAGCGCCACCACAACATGCCACAACATCTGGACAAATTTTGCAAAGATCAGAACTCTTTAACATTTTAAGTGGCAATATGACCAATAATGTAAACGAATCAAAGAATCCTAAAATATTAGTTTGAGTAAAATAAAAAAAGAGAAAAAGCAAATGATTTGATGTTGTAAAAGCATCTTGATATAAAAAAAAATTACTTCTTACTTTTGCTCCTTAATTAATGTCTTCTATTTCTTCCTGTGACTGTCCCTCTTCAGTTTTGTTGTACTAAATTGGTTATATAACTGCGACTGTTTTTTTTTTAATTATAGATTTTTTTCTTTGATTTGCCCCGCCAATTCTTGTAATAATTTGCCACCACTAACTTTTATAATATTTTTGCCTCTTTAATTTAAAGAAAATGGATATAAATATATATTTTTTTAATTTTAATGCATGAATAATTAACAATACAACCATCTGTAAATAGATATAAATCTATGTGTATGTACTCTATTATTTATAAGTTTATAACTAAAGCTTTTATTTATAGACTCTATAAATTTCTATCTCTGAAATCTCAAATTACTTAATATACATACTATATAGAACACTTGACAATTGTACGGGATTTATTTTTTTAAATCAAAATAATTTTTAAAAGATTTTACTTTAAATTTTACTTCTATATATCGATACAAATTTTCTATATATTTTTCAAAGTTCCAAAGCAACAAAGAAAGAACAATTGATAACTTATGAGAAGAACTGTTCCAACTACATAATAGAGATATTCGTGATAAGAACACTTCCGTATACCGGCAGATAACTCGAAGTTATCTGCGAATCTGCAACACCATATGTTCGGAGTCTCTTCTAATAACTGAACTACATATGTAGGGATACGTAAAACATGGATGTTTGGTATATCCCTTAAATCTTTGCAACCACCAACTTCGTATAAAGTTTTTAAAAAAGCCCCACTTCTTTCTGATATGAAACTTAAAGTAATAGCTTCTTAAAGTTTCATACTGGAAAATATAGTAATAAAGATGTTTATTAAAACTAGAGTATTTTAGCAAAGAGAAGAACCGGGGTATTATAAGCAAAATTACCAGTAGTATTATAGGGTTCTTCTTCAAGTATAAATATGTATATTTTCTTCTTGCACATTACAATACATTTTTATTAGTTTCCCAATCTAATTTCAAAATGTAAAATTATTTTTATAATAAGTTTTATTCTCTCCCGATTTTTATTTAAATTTATATACTGTATGTACAAACAAGGGTTTGTAAAACTAATGAAAAATGTGTTCCTATAAGTTGAATTTGCTTTGGGGTAATGGTTACATTAAGTAATTACATTGCAGGTAGATTACCAATTACATATTATTGTTATTTTATTCCTTGCAATTACAATTACTTTTAATTATTATAAAGGTTTGTTCAATTAATTGCGAGTAATTGTAATTTCAAAAAAGCTTATAATAATTGTGTGAAATTGTAATTAAAAATTATACCAATTACAATTATATTTTTATAAATTTAATAGCTTTTAACGATTACAATTTAGTTTTTTACAATTAAATTTTTGATAAATTTAATGGTAATGAATAATGTTTATTTCAAAAATAATTACACAGGTCAACGATGAAAAAAGTATTTAAATAATTTTCACTAATCCCCATGTTATTTGGTGTGCAGATTCCGAATATGGAAATAAAAAAATCGTATCACCCACCAATTTTCGACATTTTCATATTTTAGTACTTCTGACTGTATACTTGAGACCCAAATATAAAATTCTGTAATTTTACAGAAGTGGCGAATAGTGGCACACCACGGCTTAGAAGAGGAAAACGATTTTTACAAAAATTTTGGCATTAATTTGGATTTTAGCAGCAAATAATTGGAATATATATTCAATTATCGTTCCAATAAAATATAAAACACAGATATCGGTCAAAAAATGTAAAAGTTATTACAAATTCCACCGATCATTTAGTGCCACAAAACACTTAAATGAGAACTATTTAAAAAAAAATTAACAAATTTTGGGAAATATTCTAATAAAACAATTTTATTACTTTAAATATATTCGTATTAACTTAATTGTGAATTGTTAGCCTCATTAGATAGCATAAATCGTATTTGGAGTATATTTATAAACAGATAACCTTTCAGACGGCAGTTTCAAAAATTCATTTTCAAACTTTTGGCAATTTTGTTAAGCAAATTTTAAAATTCTAAAAAAATCTCCATGTAACTTATGTAAAATGTTATGCATTTTATATAAAACTTTTAAAGAATATATAATTAAAGATAATAGATAACATTCAACTAAAGTTTTATTAAAATCGACAAACACAAGCTGTATAATATTGGGAAATTCTTTTGAAATCATATAGTAAAATATTATTTTTTCAACCGATTTAAATGAAACTTAGCAAAAAATTAAATTAACCTTTATTGTAAATATATTTTGATAATTATATAAAATGTCCGTAATATGTGAACAATATATTCGATGCCGTTTTGTGAGCATATGGTGGGTGATAGAAAAAAAAAACAAATATTAGTTTCGGTTTTAGCATCTAAAAATACATTAAAACAAGTAAGAAAGTATATTCGGGCGTGACCGACCATATGATACCCTACACCAGTTATTAATATTAAATGTGATTTATTTTTCATAATAAAGCATTTATCATCAATATTACCTTGTTCCGATTCATTTAAGCAATTTATGGTTGAAAAACTGATTTTCTGAAAGAGGCTTTATATGGGGGGCTAGGGGCAAATATGGACCAAGCCCGATAAAGTTTTGTGAATATATTTATATAATATTTATTTGTGCTCAATTTCATGGTGATATTTGTGTTTATAAGTTAATTTTGGACACTCAAGTAATTTTCTGAAGGGGACTTTGTATGGGAGCTAGGGTCAAATGAGGCCTGATCTTTATGAAATTTGGCAGGGTCATCAAGGCTTGTATAAAACTTATTTGTGTAAAGTGGTGTAGGGTATAAATAGCCCAGTTGGTTTTACAAGTTTTTACAAACCTTCATTTCGTTTACCTGTGTAATTGCCATGAATATACAAATATTTACAGTGACTAAAATTTTATTAAAATCTATATTGTAGATCTAATTTATCATTGCCAAATTTTGTGATGACATTGCTAGGTCTGTTAATTAATTGGTAAAAATTCAATTACCGTTATAAGATTTTGTAATTTAAAAGTAATCAATAACAACTACTCCTAGTGTAGAATAATGAAAAATGTAATTGTTATCCCCCAAGTCTGGTTAAATTACTTTATTTTAGATTTTAATATTTTCATTCGTTTTATAAAAGCCTTACATTTTAATTTAATAAACAAAAATACTTCTCTGTAATCGATATTAAGCTTATTTTAAGTTCTTAACTATTCTATGAAAAATCTGTAAAAAAATCTTAAATAAATTTAGATATCATTACTAAATGATAATTAAACGAAAAATAAGTAAAAAAAATTGATGTATAATAAAAATCAGCTAATTTTGCCTGTCAACTGAACCTCTATGTATTTGTTGTTGTATCCTCGTATATGTGTTTCATTTATATTTTAATGTATAAATCATAAGAGTATGTTTTTTAATAAAATTTATTTATTAATTTCTGTTGCATGTTTCTTTTCAGGTCACCTATCAACCGTACTTCATGTTGTATGGTGAAGTATTTGCAGATGATATTGATCCACCATGTGGTGAAAATCCAAGTCAGCCCGCATGTGTTACAGGTGAGTTAAATATTAATTAGTAAGTTTTAACAATTATAAATATGGACAATTTCGTGTCAAGTGATACAACTTTTAAAATTTATGTCTTCCGATTTGGATGAAATTTGCCCCAAGGTTATTATTAGACAGACAAACTTTTACCCTAACTCCGGCAGTTCTTGACCGATAGGGCTAAAAAAGTGGATCTGGCCTACTATCTAATATTACTAAACTCCGAGCAAATTTCATCCAAATCGATTTTATAAGTTAGGTCACTTGTCACGAAATTGCCCATATATATGACCCTAGAACTTCTTAGTGATATCGCCTATTTACTTCAAGAGAGTCCTTAAACTAGTATTGTCAAACGTAGAAAAAATTTCTGCCTAGAGATTCTATTCTAAAATGTATTCAATTTGGGATGTAATTTTACCAGGAACATGGAAAATTGTTCTGACCATTCCGTCTTGAATTCAAATAACCGTTTCTCCATTCTATTTTATTTTATCAGGATTTCAAATGATGGGTATTATTTAGGACTCAATTAAGTAAATAAGCGATATGTGTATAGGAACACCAAACAGTTATGTTACAAAAAAATTTAATCTGTATCTCTAATTTTCTTTTTCAGGACACTGGGTTACACCGATTACTATGTCAATGTATTTGTTGATAGCAAATATTTTATTAATTAATTTATTAATTGCGGTATTCAATAATATTTTCAATGAAGTCAATTCGGTTTCACATCAGGTAAAAATAAACAAATTTATTAATCAGATACCTTGTGGTATTAGATGTGCTTAGGTTATGAAAATTATATATTTGTCTCCGTCCCTGTCTTTCACGGAAAAGAAACTAAAATGTCTTGGTCCTGAATAGAAATTCGTTCAGATTCCCTATAGTTATACTTACAGGGTACTGTATAATTGGGCTTAGACGAAGGAAAAGCATCGGTAGAGATGTATCTGTTCAAGCATCTAAATATCTATCTGCCTTGACTCAAGGATGTGTCACTAACAATATTAAAGAAATTGTTAAATGAACCGGACGGTTCTCTCTGAGACCATAGCAATATAAAGACCGCCCAAATTATTAATAATAATAATTTTCTATGTGGTCAATAGATTTTTATTAAAAACCATAAATATTCTCATTATTTATGAAACATGATTTAAGTCATGTGGCTGTCTCAACCGGCTTTGAAGAAACTTATCCTGACAGTACAATTTTTCATGTCTTCGTTGACGTTTTACAAATAGCTTGGACAGTATTAAACTTTAAGTTATGTATCGTTTCTGGATTATTCGAGTAACGTCAGTCAAATCACAGCACGGTTTATTAATTCTATTGAGTCATGGTGCAACATTTTACGGAAACATACTGATTGTTAATATAAAATATCAATCAAAGTCAAACAATTTCTGAATAGACTTATGTAATGGGAATTTCGTGTCAAGTGACCCTTCTTTTAAAATCGATGTCTTCCGATTTGGATGAAATTTGCACCAAAGTTAGTACTACGGGATAGTAGGTCAGACACAAATGTTCAGCTCTATCGGTCAAAAACTTCTTTTACTCAAAAAAAGCTTAGACCATTTCCTTTAAGAGCTTTCTGATTACTTACCGTGGTCACTTAGTGGGATGCAAAGGGCATATGTGAAAAAAAAATTTTAACTCAAAAACTATGCTTTTGGAGTTAAAATATTTTCTATATATGTATATATCCCACTCGCATCCCACTAAGTAATCAGAAAGCTCTCAAAGAAAAAGGTCTAAGCTTTTTTTAGAGTAAAAATATACAACAAGAACGTCCATTTTAAAAAATGAACTCATTTGACCAATAGGTCAAAAGTTACACTCATTTGAACAAAACCCTGTAGGACCAAAATGTCCAACTTCGATCCTCTCTAAGTCTGGCAGTTCTTGACCGATAGAGCTGAAAATTTGTGTCTGACCAATATCAAATAGGACTAACCTTGGTGCAAATTTCGTCAAAATCTATTTTTTGAGTTGGGTCACTTGACATGAAATTCCCCATAGATCTGTCAGTTGGTTCGCCCGTCTGTGTGTCAATGTTTTAGGACATTTTAAAAATGTTTATTTCCCTATTATATCTGGTGGTGAGGACGCTTTAATAGCTTGACAAGATATTCACAGAAGATTGCACTTAATATTGTATCTTAATTCTGCTAGAAACTTTTGAATTTGTTTTAAAACTATTTTAAAACTATATTAAGATATTGTATGTATGTATTTAAATAATTTGAATCTAAATACTTTTATACAGGTATGGATGTTCCAACGTTTCACCGTAGTCATGGAATATCAACAGAAGCCCGTGCTGCCACCTCCGTTCATAGCGTTTTGTCATTTCTATTCGCTGCTAAAGTATTGTATACGCAAAGCCAAAGGTGAGAGAGGGATGAGAAAGTTAAATTTTATTCCCTGTGAGTTTTCATTTATAAGCTCGTAAATATATTTAACCAATAATGTTGTTCTATTTACTTTTACTTATTTATTTATTTGTTCATTTACTTTTCTTAAACAAATGTAAAACTTTACACAAAAACACATACAACAAATAATGCATATTAAAATGCTTATTTTTTCAAATATTTCTATGACTTGAATTTTTGTGAAAACACACACACACACACTAAACATTATTATATTTGTGGATGTGTGATTCCAAAAACTGGACATAATTATTGTAAAATCTTTTCATACACAAAATCTGAAATAACAAATTTTTTAATTTTTTTATTATTTTATGCTTTTATTAATTTTTTAACACTTTAACAACAAACTAATATTTTCCGTTAAAAATTTAACTGACACTTTATTTTGCAATACTTTGAATATTTATTTTAATGTGATTAACACTGTCAATGTTTGTGTGTCAATTTGTTATGTTTTAACAATTAATAACTTTAAAAAAAATACTTGCTTTCTAATTTTATCATTGGGGACGGTATTGTGGAATAATAAAATCATTTGTATGTAACAACATCGAAAAAATATTTGTCTGTATTTGCGTATTTCTTGTATCGAATAATATTTATTCACATTCAATCGAATAAATGTACAGGATTGGAAGTTCAACGGGACAATGGCTTGAAGCTGTTCTTGGAAAAGGATGATCTCGAGCGTTTGTATGATTTTGAAGAGGAGTGTGTTGAAGGATTTTTCCATGAACAGGAGATCATTTTAAATCAATCGACAGAGGAGCGTGTAAAGAATACTACAGAACGTGTTGAGACGATGGCTCAGAAAATAGAAGATATAAATCAAAAGGAAAATTTACAAACTGCCACTGTACAGGTACACACATGTTTTATATATTTAAAAATATTTCTGAAAATAGAGTCAAAAATAGGGTTAGGAATTATCTTTTATCTCAAATATTTATGCACAAGATTTGGATTTATTGGAAAATACATATCGAATCTAGCTTAAAACTAACCCTATTGTCTATTGATTGATATACAGAGGGAAAAAAGACGCTTTAAAATTATACACGCCTGGTACCAAATTGACACCAAAGCGTTTGTAATTTTTCAATAACATCCATTGTCAAAGTATGTACGGATAGTTGTTAAATCAACAACAAATATAATATACGACGTTATCAAATCAACAAAAAATAATAATGTGTTACCAAAGTGACAACGTTGTTGCAATGAAAACGATGCATTGTCAAAATTACAACGGTGGTTGTCAAAATGATAACTGTGTGTTATTTAAATTTGATACACAACGATTGTCTAAATGTTAACAAACGTGATAAGCTCACTTTTGTCAATGGATTGTATAAATTTCGGTACTTTTCTACCGGTCAATATCGGTTCACGATTGCACCTAGACTGGTATTACAGAACATTAGAAAAAGAATGATGAAATTCGGCATGAGCAAGTTTTTTATAAAATTTTATAAGGATCGGTCCATAGCTCACCTTACTCCTCTACTTATAATCCCATTTAAGAAAATCGATTTAATATCATCGTTAAAAAAAGTATGGTATTCAAAGAACTCAATCAAATTCCTTAGAGTTCGGTTCGTTATTGATTCAAACCTCTTTAAAGGCCCTGTTCCGAAACCTCTCTGATATTCATATTAACATCGAAATAGGGTAATTGTGTAAAACCTTGTAAATAATTAATCCACGACGACTTAAGTACAATAATAAAGGGCCTTATTTAAATGTCGGAAGCCATACTGAAAGTTAGGATATATAATTTTTGACATTTACATATAAGTATATATATGTACATATGGTATTAATGTTCTGTACTGTCTGCAAGCTTTAAAATAACACTTTACTATTTCTTTTAGAATATCGAGTTTCGTTTACGCAAAATGGAAGAATCATCGGAACAAATTTTAAATCATTTAGCAGTGATACATCGTTTTATGGCCATGCATACAATGGGCCAAGATGATTTCAATTCATCGAATATAAATATACCTGGAGACTTGCAACGCTTACGAACTGTATCCGTATCTGACAATGAAGCTGCAGGAGCCGGAAGTGGTGGTAGCGGTGGGTTCGGAGGAGGAGGAGGCGGCGGCCTATCGAATAGTCTACAGGCATGTGTATACCATTAAATGTATTACATGTGTATATAATCTATAATTCAAGATATTATCTTAAATATAGGTAACAAACCGTCGAAGATTTAATCGTTCTTTAACAGAAGTCCGGCCAGATGCATATATATTTGATGATGGGGCCCATTTTGAGGTGGTGCCCGTGCCAGAGGAAACAGATGAAGTTGTAAAATCACGTGAAGCCCTTAACGAACAGGTGCGAAAAATATCTGTCCAATCCGAATCGGATTCTGATGTGTACGTGCCCCTGTCTCAACGGCCATCTACATGTGAGACTGTGAAACGAACACCATATGTGACCGTACGCCAGGACACAGGAGCAAGTACGGAAAGTAAAGATACCTTAACACCACTGGGAAATGATGACGATCAAACACTAGTAGGTGAAAATTCCGATGAAACGGGACCAGATATAACTTTTGAAGGTAAATAAATAGTCATTATTCATGAACATTCGTATTAAGTTTAATTTATTAATGTTATAGCTGCCAGACATCGAGCTATGCGCCAACGTACTGTTTCTTTGTGTCGCAGAAATTCTGAGACGTGTTCCATTGTTGGCGACATAAGTCGTTCTCATATAAGTCTGAATCAATTACATTTAACGCGTCGTCAAATGAGTCTTACGCAATCGGAACCGGACAGTGATAAGGAAGCACAAACAGGTACAATAAAAAGCCCTCAATGTGTCCAACAGCAATCTCCTTCCGTTCGTTTGGCATCAAGTATTCCAAGTCTATGGAGCATTCTTGAATAGAGTGATAGTGAGATTTGGAATATTTGCGTGCTTCGTTGTGTTGTTGTGTCCGATATTGTTGCAGTAACAATTGTTGTTGTTATTATTTGTCATCCCTATACAATATTTCTTTTCCTCTATTTTTTGTTGTTGTTTCTGTGAATTTTGTAAATTTTTGTAAATTTTTTTTTCTTAAACAAAACTTTGAAATTTTATCTTTTCCAAACAAATTCGTATCGTAAATTTGAACGTAAAAATATCAAACAAACAAAATTATCTAAAATGTAATTTAGGAAAATCTGTACTACATGCAAAACCCTCGAGAAACATTCTCTTGAAATTGCATAGCGAATACACTTCCATCACTGATGAATTGGAGAGTGTTTGTCATATGATTGCCTCGCCTACAGTATCACTTCCAAGTCATAAAAGTAAGTATTTGATATTGTTATTGTTGTAAAATATTTTACGTCATACCTTCATTATTTTTTTAAATGTTATGAATTTTATACTACTAGTTGAGGAGATTTTATATAAATAAATGAAACCGATAAATGAATCCTAAAAGTTACCCTTGATTCCCTTTTATTTATTTCAAATATCATTTATTATACATACATATGTACGTGCATACTATGAGTTTATTTGTTATTAAAAAAATTTAGAGACCCAGCTAAAATGTTCATATCCGGAAATTGGCGGAATTGGGCATAATTTCCATATGTATTGATATGTATATGTAATTTCGTATATGGGAACATTTTTTATATATGATTCCATATATCACATGTTCATATATCGCCATTTTTCATATGAATATATTTTTTTTTTTAATTTTTTTAAAATGGGCTGTTTTGCTTAGTAGGAAGCTTATACAATTTCCTTGAAGGTCTTTATAGTCCTATAATGGGATGCGAGTGGGATATCTATCAAAAAAATATTTTTTAACTCAAGAATAAAATTTTTCAATATTCGGCACTTAATTTTGCCCTAGTTTTCTGAACTCCTTTGGACAATTTTTGCTAGGATCAATAGGTGAAAAGTTACACTCATTTGAATAAAACCATGCACGACCAAATTTGCCCCCTCTAAGTTCTTGACCGATAGAGCTGAAAATTTGTGTCTGGCCTAATATCTAATAGTACTAACCTTGGTATAAATTTCATCAAAATTGATTTTTTGAGTTGAGTCACTTGACGTGAAATATATTACATACTTGTATACGCCCTTTTTCAATATGGATATCGAATAAAAGGGAACAATCTTAACAATTCTATGGAATTTTTATACATGTTTGTAACACCCAAAAATATTGGTCCTACACCCACCTTAAGGTATACCAATCGACTCAGAATAACTTTCTGAGTCGATTTAGCTATGTCCGTCTGTTCCAGTATGACGTCAAAAATTGGCGAAATTTAGTTTTATAGAAGTTAAAATGACATTGCCGATTTTTGTAATAATCGGGTCTCATTTGACCCTAGCCCCCATACAAACTCCCGTTCAGAAAATGACTTGAATTTAAAAACACTAATAAACACTATGAAATTCTACATAAATAACTTTGATGTAGACGTATATTCCTCTATCAACATTTATAAGGATAGGCCCATATTTACCCTCACCCCCATATGAGCCTCTTGTAGAAAATCTTTTTTTTTTTTGTCAACAATAACTAAAAATATTCCTGAATTAAGGCAAAAATCAAATTAAATGCTTTATTATTTAAAAAATAATCCAATAACCAATTTTTGGTTAAGGAAGAGTACTTAGCCTTAGCCGAAAACGCATTATATTCTTCCGTCAAAAAATTCATAATGAAAAATATGACTTCAATGTGAAGAAAAAATTCTCAATATGGGTATCGAAATCAAGACCGAATAATATTCATTATTGATAAATATATACATTATGTTTAAATTGAAACATTGGTAAAAGCGTTGAAATGTTTTAAATTTTGCAAAAAAAAGGAACTAAAGGAACTTTATAGCACTGCATACAGTGTGCAATGTAGTAAAACATACAGAACATACAATAATTTTATTCAAATACTTTACATTTTCATAATATTCCATCATAAATACATATTTGTCTGTTTTCATTAATGTATTTTCACATTTAAAGCACCATTGGATCGACCAAAAACGGAAATGTCGAAAGCCGAAAGAGCAGCTCTATTAGAAAAGCAACATTTAAAAGAATGCGAAGAAAATGATTATCAAATGCTTGAGGGTCTATTTACGGCGCGTGCCTCTATTGATGATACTGACGACTCTTATGAGGTAAATAAGTTAAAAAGAAGGTGGTAATTATGTTTTTAATGAAATTTAATTTTTTATAATGTACATACATTTGTAAATATGTATATAAAATTTTTAAACATGTTTGGAAATTAATTCAGAAGGGTTTCTAAACTTTCGGGTCATAAAAAATTTCCAACATAATAATTTAGACTGAAATATGTTAATTATTACTTTCAATATTATATAGTAAATGTTTTTTATTAATGCTTGCATGACTAATATTAGGCATATTCCTTATAAAATGTATCTTTTTAATATCTGATTTGTTTCCTCATTTAGGCTGGTGCATCTGTTGACTTCAGTCATCGACATCCTCTTAGACGAGAAACTGCTATCGAATTGTCACCGTCTAAACCACCAGCTGGTGGCGGTGTGGTTGGAGCTTGTGATAGTAGTGACACTAGCGGCCCAGCTACTGGCGCTTTTCAAGTGAAAAATGAACGTCCCTGGCAACGTAATGCCTCTATGGAACAACAACAAACATATCATTCACCCGTAGTACCACAACGTGCTACCAGTGAGTTTTTAAATCCACCGTATGAGAGTACCGGCCGCCTCTTTAAAAAGTCCAGTGAAAGTTTACAGAAGAATTCCAGTACCGACACTGACTATTCAGCGCATCCATATCGTTTTATTAAGCAAAGTTCAAATGATACCACCACCTCGATGACCGGCTCGTATAATATCGACACACCATCGTTGACGGCTGAGCCATCTCTCGACGCAGTTGATATACAGTCACAATCACAATCCCAAACATTAGGGACGACAGTGCTCGAGGGTGGTGTTAGTTTAAGTGGAGGCAGTAGTCTGAGCATCTCTGCACGTTATCAACCGTTGCGTACCTCGTCCGTTGGTGCTTCTGATGTTAAGCGCTCAACTGACGAAGGATCAGCTTCCCTAGATTTTGGAACAACGAATATAATGACGCAGGTGCAACCGCCTCCACGAGCTATGCAGTTGAAGAAACAGTTTAGCTTGGACCAAGGCAAGCAGCAACAGCCACCACCGATACCACCAACCTCACGTTTATCAAGCACCGAAACACCCACCTCAACCACAGAATTGGCACCCTCATCATCATCCTCGGCATCTGCTTCTGCATTAGCATCCTCATCATCCAAAATGCAGACACCTTCGAAACATGCAGCTACAATTGCCGCCGGTGCTGTGTTGCCTTCAACGGTTCCTGCCAAATTGATTTCCTCACTTAAACCACCGCTTACCAGTAAATTCGGCATGAATATACTCAAAGAGAGTAGCTCGAGCACTGAAGAATCCAAGGATGGTGACCAGACCAGTGTGGCTCCTAGCGGCCCCGCTGTTACCATACCGCAAATTAGCACAGATCTTGTCCAAGATGAAATTGCAAAACTATCATCGAATATTAAGAGCAGCACCGAATCAGAAAAGGATCCGCCCTACAATGAAACAATGTGCTGATTTTTATTGAAACTTGGAATGATTATTGCCATAACATCCTTATCAAAAGAAATTCCTCGTTCTCATCATAGCGTTCACTATACGCATTTTGATGAAGTCCAATGGAATAGAAATTAAACTGAAAAAAAGTTAATATTTTTTCGATTGTAAATATAATTATATAATATATAGTGAAGGATATATTGATTTTGTAAAAATAGTATATAACAAAATATAATGATGTGCATATACAATACATTTCGGTTGTTTAGAAACGCATAATGTCAAGACAAACCCCTCGCCCATGCCCTTGCTTTCCCCAAATCCCACTCTCCCTGTCTGTGTCTGTAAAATGTTAAGGATATAAAAAAAAAACAAAGTCAAATTTAAATCTAAGCTAATTTAATTAATCGTATTAAATCAAATAGTAATTACAATAATATTTTTAAAATTTCAAACATTTAATTATAAATTAATTTATTTAGAATCCAAAATATTTGCAAAAAGACCATTTGTATACATAGAAATAGTTAATTAATTTATTAGAAATGTTTAAATTATAAACGGCTGTATATGTATGTATGTGTCTGTGTGCTGTACAATATTTTTAAAAACGTGTATTTGTGTTTTATTTTTTAAAATATTTATGTACTTAAATTGTATGTATACTTAAGAATTGCCATTTATTGCAACAAATTAAAAATTTAAAATAATTATCTATTATGTTTTTAGACAAATACAAACTAAACAAACAAAGAAAAACAAACAGATGTCGAAAAATTTTTATTTGAGTCCAATTAAATTCATCTGTAATATATGTATGTAGAATGTGTTATGGAGAAAAACTTAGTAAAGTAAGGTGGGAATATATGTATAATATATTTTCATTTGTTAAAAGTATCCATATTATTTTATTCTAAGGAAAAAAATTCTTAATGTTTCTCAACGTTTTAAAGTACCCCAATAAGAATAGTTTTTATAGAGCAAAAGCCTTTTATGGACTTTCCAACTCCCAGCCAACTTAGAGCTTTTCGCAATATTAGTGGTGCTTTTTGATATGTTAAACGCGTAAAATATTTCTTATGGTAGTGCCGGACCACACACGGAAACTTTAGTTGCGAAACTTTTTCTTAATTCTCTTTTAAAGTTTCCTTAATGTCTACACATAGAAAGTTTTGTATCAGAAACTACGTGTTAATTGGATTGATTTGTTTTTGTACGAATGAGAAGAATAACAAAACAAAACGAGTTTTCGAGTACGAGAAACTCCGTACCGCGAGAGAGATGAATGATACTTCGTTCTCTTTCTCTCTCACGCAAAATCAAAAGTTTCCCAAAAATAGTTTCCTAGTGTGGACCGACAGGTAGTAATTTTAAAAAATAACACGGGCCAACGAAATGAAGATTTGGAAAAACTTTTGAAACCAATTTCAGTTGATTTCATTTATTTTAAGGTTCTGAAACCGAATCTGATATCGGGTTTTCTCTATCACCCACAATTTTCTCTGAACATGTTATGGTATACTTAGCTCATTCATATATAACGTAATTTTTATGTAATTACTAGCTATACTCAGTGTGCTTCGCTAACCTCATCGTAATGGAATAAAATAAATATAATTGTAAAAGTATATATATCTGCGATATCAAAAGGGAACTTTTATAGATTTTTATACTTGTTTCTGGGTTCAATGTGAAATGAAAGTCCCATTTCAATAAGTTTGATTTTACGATTATATTCTTAATATTACAGAAAATTCAAAAAATGCAGTTAAAGAACGAAAAAGTACCAGACAGTGCCATTTTATAGATTTCCAATAAATCAAGATGATGAACGTTTAATTTTCAACCTGAAATTCCTCTCATTTTTTATACAATCAAGAAGCTACGTGTCCAATAATTTTATGTTATTAGATTCAATATTATAGAAAATTGGAATATTTTAGAAAACTTATAAAGTACCAGTTGAAGAACGAAAAAGTACCAAAAGACCTCTTTTATTTAATTTCATGTTCCTAAGTTTAATATTATAGAAAATTCAAAAAGTACCAGTTGAAGAACAACAAGTAAAAGTGCTATATTCGGCTGAGCCGAATCTTAAATACCCTCCACCAGCTACTTTTATATTAATACTTTTTTAATTGATCAAATATTTGTAGAAATAAGACTTCTCATGTCTTAAATAGAAAAATCCTAAGATTTAAACAGCTTAAATCTGTTACAATTGTAAGATTTATTGAACATTACAAACGCCATTTTCTTTTATATTTTAATAAGATATGCTTTAGCAATATTTAATAATTTGTGTAAAGATTTAAGGAAATTCAAATTTTCGGAGCAGGACCTAGTATGGGGATATGACCAATTATGGACCGATCGTAAAAAATCTTTAAGTAACATTTCTGTATATAGAAGCTATATTTCAGTCAAATTTGGATCTATATCGTAATTTAGTAATAAGTAATGTGTGTTTAAGAGATTTTCGCAAAAGGACCTTGTATGGGAGCTATGACCAATTATGGACCGATCGGAAAGAAATTCCACGATAATATTTCTGCAATAATTGTAGCAAATTTTATATGGATATCTTAATTTAGTAATGTGTTATATGCGTTTAAGCGATTTTCGGGAGGGAACCTTGTATGGGAGCTATGACCAATTATGGACCGATCGGAAAAAAATATCACAGTAACATTTCTGTATATAAGATCAATACTTGTAATTTTATAAGGATATCTTAATTATGTAATGAGTTATGTGCCTCTAAGTGATTTTAGGGAGGGGACCTTGTATGGGAGCTATGACCAATCATGGAAAAAAAAATTCACAGTAATATTTCTGTATATAAGAGCAATACTTGTACCAAATTTTATATGGATATCTTAATTTAGTAACGAGTTATGCACGTTTAAGTGATTTTCGGGAGGTGACCTTGTATGGGAGCTATGTCCTATTATGGACCGATCCAGAAAATGTTTTCTCTATACGTATTCTATTGACATAGAATTTTAATTTGTAAAATTGTTTGAAGATATCAAGATTCTGACGGAAGTTATTAACAATAATCTCATTTCCCGGAAATATGTACTTTTGTATGGGAGGTATTCCGGCAATTTTCAACAACAATAAAGTTGTCGTGTAAAAACAAATATGTGATGATTTTCATTTAATTATATTGCATCAAAATGTGTTAAAAATGCGTATTTTTTTCTGAGTTATTTTAAATTTTTATTCATAACATTTCCCGATGTGAACCGATTTTGCTCATTTTCAATACCAAACTGTCTAGGACAATAGGGAATATTCTGGCCAAATTTTAATAATTTATTTTACTTCGTTTTTACGTGAGCGTGTTTTACACAGAAAGACGGACGGACAGACGGACATAGCTAAATCGACTCAGAATTTCATAAGGACCAAGAATATACATATTTTGTTGGGTCTCTGATAAATATTTCTTGGTGTTACATACCAAAGATTGTAAAAATTACCTTTTGAAGAAGGAATAAGTCCAAAAAGTCCACTTTTATAGAATCTCACATAATGCGGGCACTATGTACTTAATTTCATGTTTCTAGTTTAAATTTTATAGAAATTTCAAAAAGTACCTTTTGAAGAACGAAAAAGTACCAAAAAAATCTCCTTTTATAGGTTCTCACATAATCCGATCTCTACATGCTTAATTTCATGTGTCTAGGTTAAATATTATAGAAATTTCAAAAAGTACCAGTCGAATAACGAAAAAGTATCGAAAAGTCTTTTATCAGCTGGAGAATGAAAAAGTACCAAATATATCATTTGGTTCCGGGGTTCCGGTTTTCCAAAAAAAAAAATAGTTTCTTTTCGGAAATCCTCAAAATTCAAACCGCAGATCTGTGAGAGATATTGAAGGTATTTGAAGGTATATTTGTGCTGATGTCTGTAACGCACAAAAATATTGCTCGGTACACCTATCAAAATGTATACCAATCGACTTAGAATCTTTCGAAGTCGATTAAGCCATGTCCGTCCGTGTGTTCTTTGTCCGACCATATATACCTTGTAGTCAAAGTACAATTTTAAAGATAATTCGATGAAGTTTGGTACACGAACCCTATTGGTTGAAATCTTTATAGTATTTCACCTACACCCCACACAACCGGATTTGGGATTTTTAGCTTACAATTGTATCTTTGAACATTTTGTAAGGTAACTTTTATAGATGTAAAATCATACCGCCGATTTTCGAAATGATCGGTTCAATATTTACCATAGGCCCCATATGAAATCGCTTTCTGAAAAGGTCTTTATTGTCCATAATTGACTTGTAAATATTGGTATCGCTATCGGTATTAATAAGATTTATATTAACATTAATCCAACTAAATTGGATATGCATTGGTCCGTACATGACACTAAAATATAAAAATTAATGAGAAAACAAATCCAGCATACAATTCCCACCAGAGACTCTGAACCCAATTGAACCCAAGACCAACATGCTAGCACACTACCAACAAACTTACCCTTGCACCTCCGATATGAATATATTTTCGAAAATTGGATTTATATCTGAGCTAATGAACAAATCTCAAAATTATCCTGTAATATGATTGTAGGATATTAATCTTTTATGGATACATTACTAAGATATTCTAAAAAAGGACTTATTTTTTAAACTCCAAATAACACTCTACTAAAAAAACAAAACGAACTTAACGACTGAGTCCCATATACGTGAAAGACTTTACCGATTTATACAGGTTAAAATGATTTCCGTAAAATAGCTGATATATCCATTTAGGAGTTTTAATGCCCAATTTCAGAAAGAAATTTGTTTAGGGGTTGGATGAAATAATAAGTCGATTTCAACTTCAATTATTTTCGTTATGAGAACGATTTTTATTTTTATTTACAAACCAATTATTATTGTAAAAGTTATTTGAAGTTGTGTGATTTATAAAAATGTCGAATTATTTAGTTTATGGATTTAGCCAAAAGAGTTTAGAAAAAGTCATAGCTAACGATGCGAATACCATAAATGAATTTATGTATATTGTACCAATGTTTCACATTTTACAAAAAATCCTAATTTTTAAGTGATAGACCTAAAATGTTTCTATGTTTTGACTTTTTAGTTACAAATGTGCAAATCGGTAAGTACGAATTAATTTAAAAGAAACCCTCATTTATTTCAATAATGTCATAATTTAAAATTCGGGCATTTTAAACTACAACGGCATAAGTATTTTTAAAAACTCTTTAAGGTTTAGAATTATTATAGGAATTATTAATAGGACCTCTCATCTTCTAAAACTTTGTACCTTTTATCGAACATTCAAATGACAGATAAGGGTTAAATTAGTATTATTTCTTAGACAATAGTTACAACCAATAAAATATTTTTATACATTTTATAATAACGAAATTTATTATTTGGTAAAAAAATTTAAATTTTTTAAGCTGTTTCGTCGAAATCGATTTTTTGGGTACGGTAACTTGACATGAAATTCCCCATATATAATTATAATATAATTCGATTAATACTGAAATAATGTAAACGAGTTATTTCAAATCAAATTTGGAAAATAACTTATGCCCAAGTGGGACTCGAACTCGAGCATGAAGAATATTCAATTAATAATATTATTATATCACAGTTCGAAGAAATCAATAATCTTAATATAAAATTAAAAAAATTAAAATTATATCCCTTAAGGCCAATTTGGCAATAACTAAAGGTAGGTTTTTATTATGCAGATAACTCGTTTCTAATTATAATAATTGTATTTTAGTTAAAGAATATCGATAAAGCATAAGGAGATCTTTCCGCCAGGTTATCTTCCCGTATACATATAATATCGAGAGACAAATGGTGGGCATTATAAAATCCA